TTTTTTTTTTTTTTTTTTTTTTATTTTTTTTTTTTTTTTTTTTTTTTTTTTTTTTTTTTTTTAGCAGTGAAGAGAGAAATTGAGAGTACTGTTTTGCTCTTCATTCATTTCATAAAAATACCAATCCAAGATGTAATTGGAGATTCTTAAGATCCTTTGGTGGTTTATTACTCTTCTGAAGGACATGAAAATGCTGATCAGAATAGCCTAAAAATGAACTTAAAAGGGTTTCATAGAAGTTCACTCAAAAGTCAGCATAAAAATGCATTTAGATTTGTTTGTTAATGAATAGAAGAAAGTGAATTGTTGTCTATCTGTATTTTTTTTTAAGTTTAATTGTTTTTTCATATAATGTGTGATTGCACCATCACACATAAATATCTGTATTTTCTATTTATTCAGGTCCAAAAGATTTGACAAGGTCAAAGTTACAGTTCGGACTATATGTCATATTTTTACACATTAAGTCCCTGTACATTTGTATATTGGGTATCAGTTGTGGTTGTTGTTTGTCAGGGTTACAGTTATGAGGTACCATGAAGTGAGACTTGTTGAGATGAAATAAAAATAAAGCACAATGTTTTATTATGAAATTTATAAAAATGGGTTTGTTGGTTTCTGAAAAAAAATCACACGTAAAAGAAATGCTTTATGCTATGGTGTTGGCAGGGTGTTATATTGTTATGCACCCCCACCCCTTTGTTTTAATTAATCAAGTCAAACTTTCCCCAACCGTGCCTCCATAACGCCGCCAACGTTCATGCGCCATTACCACCGACTGCAGGAATAATAAGATGAGTAGCTTGAGTACTTTCCAATAATTTCTCAAACAAGTGCATTTGTGGCACGCCTTTTTTTTAATTTATTACACACATTTTAATTAAGAATAATTACAATAATGCACATACTCAAACACAAAAGGAGGCCCATCGCCTTAAATTCGGAATCCATTTTGTGACACGTTCACCTACGTCATCAAGATTTAATTCATAATAAAACCAAGATGTCCCAGTGACACAAAAGTCGTGCTTATACTTAATTATGATGGATCACATGGTAACTACATGATTAACCAAACACGATGATTGGTAAGAATTTCATTAAATGAAGACCATTATAGCCCGTAGAGCAATCTGGAGACCCAACAGCGCGGGACGAAGCATCTATGATTAATGAAGCTGAAACATCGGTCATTTATTTATAACGATGTAATTAGTTCGGATGCACTGGGTCGAATATGCTGGAACTAAATGTTTATTAGTCTAAAAGCTGTTTATTTCACAAGGCAATTTTTCACTTATGTCGAATACTAAGTAAAGCTGGCCAAAAATCGATGCAAAGAAAAGATTGCCAAGTTGAACGTAGTGTTATAGTTGGATTCATGAAATGAAGTCCCTTTCGAAAAAAACGGAGATCATCACTAACGGACTTGAAATTTAGACGATTTGTCCATAAGTATAGGTTTACGTAACTTGCAATTAAATCATTTCACAATTTTTTGTTATTAGAAAAGTGTGAAGAGATTACATCAATTTTGATCTAGGATAGAAGATAAAGAGGCCTTCTATATTTTAGGGCCCAGTTTTGATGTAAAAATAGGACAGCGACGTAAATTCTAATTTCCTAAGCAACGGCTTATGGAGCAAATCTTACAATTCTGACAACTTAAAATTCAGATTTAGCTAGATACATTTATTTGTTTATTTATCATATTTTTTCACTGGATATTACATGATATGTGTCTGACTAATTCATTTTGGCAATGAATTACTCCCATACGTCAGCTGTCTCCTAGTATACAGTACATATGACCCAAGTATCAACCCACTGTATTTGTCACAGCGACCTCAGTCTCCATAATTGGTATCACTGCTATCATTCTTGTCGCCGTGTGTAATGGCAGACGTTACGTATTTGTCACCCAAATTACCCAGGTCAAACACATCATTGCCATTTCATTAATAGATATTTCATTATAAAATAAATATATTCTCAATTTATTGAGGCAAACAAAGTATCTGCAACAAACAAGTATCTGCAAGGTACCAAAGGGACCAATTCAGCTACCATCATTACTTTTCTCAGAATCGAATCATCTCTGCGCATCGTTTATTAGAACAAAGATTTTCAAAACCCATTTCCTGAGGTATTAATTCTCACAATTCATGATTTCGCATGGAGAAAAAGGCAGTGTTTCATTTTACATGGACAGATGGTTTTGAATAAAGCTCATTACCTGAGATATTGTCTATCTAAATGTATCATTCGTCGTAGACCATTACTGCTACAATACCTTAATCTGTGCAGAGCTCCCAATGTATAGTTTAATAACAATTCATTCATCTTGTAACATAAGAAAGAACGTGGATTACTTTGAATTTTTTATTGAACACAGGAGTTTTAAAATAATTCACTGGTATTATTATTATTATTATTATTATTATTATTATTATTATTATTATCGAGACTATGATGTTCACAATGCATAATTTCCAGAGAGTACTTACGAGGAAGAAAGGTCATTACTTTGAAAATGACAGATTCACTTCAACAATTGCTTCTCTGAGATGCCGGTGACCCCAAATGTATCGTTTGTCACAAAAAATAAGACAAAAACTCCTATAAAACCTTTATTTGAACAGATGGGTTTTATAATAATTCAGTTCCTGCAAGTAAGATGTTTATTCTCCCAAATTATAATTCGTCGTTCAACATTTGGAGGCCCTTACAATAAATAACTTCATTTGGACAAATACTTTCAAAACAACTTATGCAAAGAGACGCAGTGCCTCGTCTGTCCAGAATAGATTTTATCCCTAGCTACTTGCACTTATGTTCAAGGCCCCAACGAATTATATAAGACTTGTCCGTGAAATACGAACACAGTGAAAGACAGTCCACTTATCGATTGGCAATTCTGGTTGTTTCTTCTAGAAAATGGCGACCCGGTAAACATGACTCCAGGGACAGGGGAGACTTATTAACGGGTTCCTTGTTTTGAATACTCGGCTCTGTTACCATGGTGCTTAAGAGCGGCGGAAGGTATAGAAAAACGGTCCCAGAGCTCTACAATAGTCAGAACCGTTTGATATTGAATTGTGACATTATTATGAAGTGAAGTGCTTTCTATTGAAAGGATGTCAGTGTAATAGATATATGTCTATAAATGTAAACATGAAGAATGAGAGATTTGAGTGCGACCTTTATGTAAATGTCAGAGCACATTGTTTTTGTTTTCTTATTTTTCACACGAGATTCACGGCAAATGTTTATATTTAACAGAATTTGAAGCTTTTAACCTTCTGGTATTCATAAATATTATGAACGAAGCAATTTTATCATGCGAGATTCTTCAGTGTGCACGTGTCCGACTTAATTTTCTACCAAAAGTGAGGAAAAAAATCAACCTTTTGGTTTGGCACAAACATTCCAAGCACAGTGGCTTAGGCAAACGGGAATTGCCATAATAATGAAACAGCTCTGCTTCCCCGTTGAACTTTGAAAACGCCGCTAAAGTGGCAAATTTGCAGAAGTAGAGACGGGCAAATCGGGTAATTACCCATAATTGTGAATGACTTTGTGCTCTGCAACTGACACGAGTCCGCATTGCCCTGACAGGCAGGCCACATTTTGCGATACTTGCTGGAAACTAATTAAGCCTATTCTTATCTGTTTTAGTTCTTTGTGTGGTGTAGTGCATAACCAAGAAAATATCAAAGAGCAACGTTAACTTGATTATTTTCCTCACGCTATGTTCTTTTCAAAGGCAACGTTAACCGTTCAAAATGATTTAATTATAGGATGATACCAATTGTATAACCAGCGTAATGCCACCCAACGTTCCCTTTTCTGACCTTTTAGCACGGAGAATAAAGAAAAAAGGGGAGGGGATTGCAGCTAAGCAGTCTAAATATGAGACCATAAACCTATTCCATTCCATTTCCATGAAAATATTTCCATATTCGACCTAGGAGCCATATTATGGTTCCTAGATTCGGCTAAAGTCAATTTTTACTAAAATTCAGCAAAATCACTAATTTATACGTCACGGCAGAGTGTTGACGTCATTTGAGGCCATGCGTAGGTTCCCCGTGTGTTGTTTCATGAGTTAAATATAAAACAGCGGTTTACGCTAAAAGGCACGCCGATATAGAAATAAATATATAAGATTATGTTGTGTTAACGAGTCCCATGAGGAAATAACTCCCAGTTGAGCTACTAAGCAGATGTCATTGCACATAGTAGGAGCTTAATCATGTAATTTAAACCATAACTTACAGAAGCCAACACTGACAGAGACAGTCGCAACTGGAGACAAATATCAATGACAAACAGATAAGGAGACCGCAGAAGGAATGGAACCAAGCACTGGCCAATAGCGGACTACCAATTCAACCGCTAAGGCGTGCAGGGGCTAAAGTCGTAGGGTTAAACTAAAAGCCTAAAAGCTTCGAAAATTTATGTTCAAAAAGCAAGGAAATGGCCATAATGCCGAAAGTACCTTTGAAGAAGTGACATTACGCACAAATGAACAGCATGCGGATAAATTACACTGGAGAAAGTTGCAATCATTTTGAAGACTACATCAACAAGTGTGCCTGTTATAGCTAAAGGTACTTAACAGTGGTCTGCGTCGCCTTATGAGCGTGACAGTGTGTCCTGCAATATTGTACTCTATTCGTGATAGATGATATTTAAATGTGCATATAGTTGAAGGCGGTCTACAAGGTTTATTAACTGAATTTCCCCCCTTCTTCTGAACGCCTGTTTTGATTAATTTCTCTTCGACAAATCATCAAAATGCACAACGAAACTGATGGCGGGAATCCAAATCAACTTTCCTCAACGATCATTCTGAACATTATCATGGAAGCCGTGCTGATGATAGTGGTATGTTTTGGCAACACGCTGGTCATTGCAGCCATTCACCGTTGTGAGAGTCTCAAGACTGTCACTAATTACTTCATAATGCACTTAGCAATTGCAGACTTTTGTATTGGTCTCATTATGCCAATGCATATTTCTATGTTCCTATACAGGCCGATGTTGGAGAACATATATGTTTGTTTATTCAGGTGGGTAGGTTTTTCTTCCTTCTCGGAATAAACTTAAAGGGATAATAACTCTTCATATGAGATCTATATTTTACAATAAAAACATTGTGAATAACTCATATAAATATAATATATTCTGTTATACCACAAAAACGGAAGTTATAGATATTATTCTGATATCTGAGCTTGTATTTAGACCACGTGACCTCCACTGATGGCTATACTCTGTTAAAATCTCTTAAGAGATTTAAACAAAAAAAAAAAAAAAAACTTTTTAGAAAAAAAAACCAGGGACTAACTTTGAATGTAAAAATGGATTCATTGACCATTGGTAAGTATGGGAAAATTGTTGTTTACTCCAGGAAAATTCATTTTCGAAGAGTTATTATCCCTTTAATATTGTCCAAAATGTTCTTTAATAACCCCTTGTATGATTTTAGAAGATTTTTGACTTCCACATATAACCGTGTTGATAAAAATTATTTGTTTGAATAGACCCGTTTTTCATATTTTTAAGGATTTCAAAGTGTTCAATTTCAAATCAATTAATGAAGATTATAAACCCCCCGTAATTGACTTGTTAGCAAAAAGTTTGATCCAGAAATAAGTTTTTAAAACTACCTATATGTTACTTATCATTGAAATATATTGCATCTGCTTTATATATAATACCATTGTGGAATAGCACTTTATCCATTTCGATACTATTATCACACAGATATTTAATTCGTTTTGAGTTTTATGATTGTGTTTTGTACCCAAGTGTTTATTAAACACCTAGTAATTTCACACGCACAGTATTCATGTGAGTTTGTCCACGTTTTCAGTCCCAAATAGTCATAATGAAAGAAAAGTTCAAAGAGAGTATTGCATTTTTACTTCTCAAAAATTCGCAATTCTGTTGCTCTGTTGGTTTGTGAGTTTATTATGCTCATGGTTTGTCCGGCAATAGAGACCATCATACCATTTTCTTTTTTTTTTTTTTTTGTAGATTGATAATAGACCCCGATTTAATTTGCATTAGGCTCATATATATATATTTATGTTTATACGTTAAAGCTTTGAAATATAAACGTCTGTGAGAGAGGTTATGACAGCGCCACCAGAGACAGGTGAAGTATTGCCAACATCAACAGGCTGTCATGTACACTGGCCATTACTCCACACTGTCTGCACAGGGCTCACATTCCCTGCAAACTTAATATTAATAGCTTGTCCTGTCTGGCAGTCGAGTACATTTATTTCCTGATTGTTTATGCCCTGGCAAAAGCAAAACTTAGAACTTTAGAAAACCAGCGCTTGGCGCTATGGAATTTCTTCTCTCAGAATATAAGGAATGCCAAATATAATTTTAATTCAAGACCTATCTAGATTCTGTACCAAAAAATATGAATGAAAGATTCCATAACATTTTTATCCATATTGTTTAATAACTATCTTTTAGAGGTTTGTATTTATTTTGAACTTGAGCTCTTTAAATCTTAACGTTATCTTCTATGTTTAATTTTTATTTGAGCTCATAAATTTTCACAACTTCAACCTGATATGATTTTAAATAAACTTATCATTATGATATCTTTCCTTGATTTTGCGTTATATTTTAATACATTTAGATTTATTTTAGTCATCAGCTTCTTGCTCTATTGAGCAATTTCACTTTTTTCATTTCTAGGTATTGCTCCATAAAAGTGACCTTCACGGTTTCAGTTCTTCTCCTGCTGGCCATCGCGGTGGACAGGCACGTGTCCATCGTGTACCCGCTACGCTATCACGTGATCATGACGAAAACGAGGGCACGTCGCATTGTGATAGCTATTTGGGTCGCCGCCTTAGCTTTTTCTTTGTTCTTGCCGATGCTATGGCACAATGACTGGGACGACATCCCGGATGACGAGTGTGATTTTGTCAAGGTGATGAGATGGGAATATTTGGGTTTGCTGGCCTTCCCACTGTTTATAATTAACACCCTGTGTATGGTGGGGTTGTATTGGAAGATATTTAGCATATCGCACGACCAGGCAACTAGGGTCATGCCTGGAGACACAGGGTGCAGCACCTTCCGGTTCAACCTCAGAATTGCCAAAACCGCATCCATTGTAATTGGTCTATTCATCCTGTGCTGGTACCCGTTCTTCATTATCATGGCCATTCAAATCTACGCTGATCTGATCTATTCCGAAACATGGGAAAACTGGCGCAGTCACGTGACGCATCTCGCTGTTGCAAATTCGGCAGTCAATCCAATCATTTACGCCTTCAGGATGGACTCTTTCAGGTCGGAGTTTAAGAAGCTATTAAAGATACAAGATTCGTTGCCAGCGTCTCAGCGGCGCCCTCTTACATTAGACCCGAGAGAAGGATACCCCAATGAGGATCAAGCTGTTGTATTGACTATGTATACCAATCACGGTTTTTTTAAAGAGACGACGGACCCAAGCACGCGTAAATTCGACCTGCCGGGCAGTGTAGACATGGCGGCACTCGGCAAGAATGGTTCTGATATTACCCTGTGTAAACAGAACGATTCTCAAGGCGAGTTCGATTTAAGCGACATGAAATGTAGAGTAATTGGTCCCTTGGCGGAAAACAACGGAAGCGAGGTATTGGAACAATGCTTTTCACATTTTTTGGAGTCTGATGAGTCGCCAAACAATACGAAAGTGTGAAAATACTAGGACTACGTATGACCAACCATTTATTTGGCTTATTCCAAGTGAAAATCAATGTGAACTAAAATTATTCTTAATTTTCATATCCATAGTTTTCCATTTTTTATTCGACCCGATGGGGCCATTTCAAAGGGGTGGGCCTCTGCCAGCAATATCTTGTGTTGCCAGGCAACGATGCATATATCGTTCATCAATTTTGCTTAGCACTACTTTTAAGTAGAACTCGGCTGTGATATCTAAAAGACACAGCTAGACCTTATCATAAAACGACGACCCATGTCATTTAAAAAAACAATAATAACAACACACAAGTCACATACAACGTAGACCCTCTTTTTTAGAAACTTCAAAGGCGATTTGAATCAGCCTCTACGCGTTGTCTGTTGGTCGTGCCCCAAACCTGAAACTCTGACCGCAGAGTTGCAATGTTTGTTTACAACATCTTGCTTTTAAAAGTAATATAATATTACTTTTTACATATTCAGCTGTAGCACAAATTTTCCATAACAAAATGTAACCATAATGAGACATGTTATATTGTATTGCTTTGAATGTAGTAAAAAACGGAATGTTACTCTTTACANTGGGGTGTAAAAGACACAGACCTTATCATAAAACGACGACCCATGTCGTTTAAAAAAACAATAATAACATCACACAAGTCACATACAACGTAGAACCTCTTTTTTAGGCGATTTGAATCAAAGGCGATTTGAATCAACCTCTACGCGTTGTCTGTTGGTCGTGCCCCAAACCTGAAACTCTGACCGCAGAGTTGCAATGTTTGTTTACAACATCTTGCTTTTAAAAGTACTTTTTATATAATATTACTTTTTACATATTCAGCTGTAGCACAAATTTTCCATAACAAAATGTAACCATAATGAGACATGTTATATTGTATTGCTTTGAATGTAGTAAAAAACGGAATGTTACTCTTTACATGCCCCAAACTACATATCGATTCTGTCATGTTATTTACGTAGGTCTTTAATCAATGGGATATGTCTGAATTTGATACCAACATTCTGTTGGACTAGCGCTGGCTCCCTCACGTCGGCTAGATATATGAATGGCCACATCCAGAACAAATAGATACGCGGAGTAAGAGATCAAATAAGGCCAACCCACTTGACAGTTTGCGGCATAATCCCCTTGTAGACACTGAATACATTCCCCGCGAGAATTAAGCGACAAGCATTCAAGTGGGATCTATTAGCCCGCTGTTGCGAATGCAACCAGTGGTGGGCAAGACAGTTTACGAGTCAGTTAACGCTGCCTGACAACTGTCCTCGGTTGGCGGGGTCGCTTCCAACTCGTATGCGTATTTCGTTTTGCTGTGAACGAAACGCCGTAAGGGACTTAGCACCAAATTCTTGTCAAAATACGGCTGTCTGCGCGTGTAACGATCTGAAAACAATTGAATGAATACTTCAAATATTGTTTAAGATATGCATTTTGATTTTATGTCACAATATGCAACGAAATTGCAAATATAGTTCCTATGGAACGATCACCAAACGACTGGAAAATGATTTATACCCGATAGAAGGCAGTACGCCTGGCTTTGTGAATCCACCCCTGACCATCCAGCTTTTTAGACCCCCAGCTGCCCCCCCCCCCCCCCGTACCTCATCCACGCTCTTAAACCTTACGCGACTACCAGTTGCTACATGTACTTACTGATGATGGCGCTGACAGCAGCCCCAACCAATACTGTGGTAAGGATACCAAGAGGTGAATAGTACAAATAGGACGTGGCATAAAATCCGTTTAATCCTGAACTGAAAATGTAAAATAAAATTGCTTAGCAGTTTAAAATATGACGTCTATGGGTAATATTCATTTGAAATACGGGGTCATGTATAGGATAACTTTTATTTATGGCCCGGATGCATTAGTATTAAAAAAAAGACACGATGGCTCTCTATTCATGTAGGGGTTATGTATTATCAACATAGGAGTTAACATGTCTTACTAAGACTGTGACCCTGTTCCACTCATTACAGCACCAAGGGTTGTGACGTTACTTTGAGCATTCCAAACAGTCGTGACGTCATATGTCCAAGTCTCGTTTACGGTGGCGTTAATCTCGCAGCGGTCACTGGGAACGGACGGCAGAATGGGATTATAAGAAGTGGATGATGTAAGTTGACTGCCAATATTCAACCACAGTAGAATGGCAACGCTGGTGGCTCCCCCTGTTAGAGCCCCCTATAAAATACGAAAGGGCTGAGTGTAACAGTGTGTCTTGAATACGGCTGGCTGAAGACATTTAGATTATTTTTGGTGTGAATAAATTCTGAACCCGGCTATGAGAAATATTTCTTTAATAGCCCAGTTAGGGGATTTTTTATTGTGTTTGTAAAATATAAATACTATATATATTGAGTGCATAAACAAAAAACTTCGTGTTTAAAGTTTTACTTAGTCTCTTAAAGTGAATATTTAAATGGATATCTAAGAAAATATTGTTAAATCATTTCAAAAGCTACAAGTTCAAGAGCAGACAAAATTAATTTAGATGTGTTTAAGCAGTGTGATATAAGTGTGCCAACTTATTTTGTCAAGAAGTATTATATTTTGTGATTTAGACTGTTCCTTTCAAGAAATCGTTTAAACTGAGTTAGCTACTACAGAGAAACTAAAGGAAATCATTTTTGTACCAAAAATTACTACTCAAAAAAATCCTTTTTTAACATAAACCTCACAATGCCAGGGGATTCCTTCAATTGTTGAATTCAAAGTCCAACCTTAGAACCACAGCAGATATCTTACCTGCCAATTGGCGAACGGACACAGAATACCCAGAAAGAAAAGACCGAATAACGGCCCGTTGGTGGCACCATCAAACCCTAGTGCAATCTGAAAAGTAAAAAAAAAATATATATATATATACGTGTTTTCATTTTCCATCATCGACCTTCATTAAACGGTACCTTTAAAGGTAAAAAATGGGCTTTTCTGAGGTAAACGGTAATTTTCCCATTATTAACAATGGTTTATGAATCCCTTTCGACATTTAAAATAAGACCAAATAGATATATATCAAAGGTGGAAACAAAAGTTATCTCAGTGCAAAATAAAATGAAAATAAAACCATCTGAGACCATCCAACTACGAACGTTCCGGGCTGGATATCAATGAAACCGATCGAACTTGAATTGATTCAGTTGCTTTCCGGTATAACACTACGTCATGCCAACTGTTAACCGCGTTCAGCAGAAAAAAAAATGACATCTCGGCGGAATTATTAGCAAAATATGTTTTACTCAACATTTGCATTGCCGCAATTGCTTGAATGGAAATCGCGCCAGTTCTTACACGTTTGAACATTTCCACTAATTAGGGCCTCGCTGAAACTAAAACCCGCCTGCTTTGAACCGCGTTTGATCCCATTGTACTCTTCAATATCATAGGTAAAGGCAAGCTAAATCTAACAAAATCAATAGTTATTATTATTATTATTATTATTATTATTATTATTATTATTATTAAGAATAATGTTACACTGAGTACGATTATAATTTTACACAAATTATCATAATAATATGATACAATGATTATTTCAAGAATAGTGAAACGTATCTGATTTGCACGGTGAATTAACATTTAAAAGATTATTTAGATTACTTGCCTGGAATATTGTTCCACCTATTAGAGTCACCATGAACGCTACCAAGGTCCCTATACCACCAAAGACGATAACTGAAATCAGGTTGCAATAAAGTAATAATAATAATAATAATAATAATAATAATAATAATATGTAAGGAATTAATGTGAACACATATTTTAGCAAAAAACGAAGAGCGAAATTTAGAAACAAATGCAAACAGACTGAAAAAGTACTAAAAGCCAGGGGGCAGAAGTGGGTCTATTACTTTAAATTCCTAGTTTAATTTGATTTAAAATTGAAAGTAAAAGTTGAATTCGATTCCAAACAAACGTATTTTTGTGACTCTACAAAGACTCAATCCATGAAATGGTGACCGAAATAATTTATAATTATCTAATCAGGAATGGTGCGAAAGTCCATTTAGGAATTACCTGTTATTTTGGCTATAAGCGCCGCCTTCCAGTCGCTAATCTTGCCATACCGATATTTAAGGAAATCCTCCCATAAAATTGCAGCTATGCCGTTGAGAGAAGAGGAATTAGAACTGGAGAAAATTCAAAATGATACAACTTTTTAACAACGTCGGTGTATTTTCTCTGTATCTTTATATATCTATCTATCTGTTCCTTTTAAATTATCATATATATAAATTTTATTTGATGTAAGAGATAAAATGATACAAAATTAGGCGCAACAGATATCCATAAGAAAACAAGGAAAAAAGCCAACAAGCACACCATAATTTCACGTAATAAATCCCTAAAATACGTAAGTTACGTAAAAAAGTATTAATTAATTAATTTATTTATTAATTAAAAGAGGGAACGATAAAGATAAAAAACTTAACCCCGGACTGTTTAAAGGACATATTGCATTATACCAACCTTTTCAAGATTTTTTCTAAAATAAAAGACAACATAATATCACAATATACCTGAGAGCGCCCGACATCAGCGCGGCAATAAACAGACCGGGAACTCCCGGCAAATCTTGCAGAACATCCATCACATAATAAGCCAGTAGCTATAAATAAGAAGCATTTTAGTGAAAAAGTGGGAGAATTATTTGACTAAGGGTGATAGTATAGAATCTATGGAGAAAGTAAGCTCGTAGTTATATCACAGGAAACACACTAGAAAATAGACGCAGAGATGTTGAATTTTGAGGGACATCTTAAGACAAGGAGCAAGATGAAAATATGCTGTCTAAAAATAGAATCGTCACACCCAAGTTTGAAAGAGAGAGAGAGAGAGAGGGTGAGAGGCGTTGAAAATGTTGATAGTTGGGAAGATAGACGGGCTGAAATACAGACTGAAATACATTCAGAACAGCGGACTAACAGATCTGCGGATCAAATATGGCGACCCACTAAAAAGCTTGCCGCTCAATTCGCGATTAAACACTAAACATATTCCCCGCGGTGATTACGCAACGAGCATCCAAGTGGGTCGGCCATATTTGATCCACGGGCCTGTTAGACAAACATAGAGGCACTGCAAGTTGTCATCACCTCGTTCTCATTCTTGACGTATTTCATCTTTAACGGGTCACACCTCAGCAAAGTGTAATGTGTGTAAACTGCTATTCCACACAGGGCGGCAGGGACGGTAAGGACCAGCAGAAATGGTGCGTTCATCAGCACAGCCCTATATGAAAAAAGTGTGAAACGAGATTAACTTAATTCGGGATTAAAAAGTAGGATGCTGTTTTCATATATATTTGTTAAAATAATGGTGTAAATTTTGAGAACCCTAAAAAGTAAACGTATGGTATGGAAATGAATGACACATTTTGGCATTCATACGTCACTGTCCTTCCAACACTCCTGCGGCGTCGAAATGACCTCAGTGCACACTAGAAAACGTAATGACGACACTTCATACGTCACCATGTCTCAAGTTCTAAACAAAATTTTTATTTATTTATTTATTTTTGGTTTCCTCATAACCCTTAGATCTACAGTGTACGCTTGTCGTTCTCAACTGCCTGCTTTTAAGGCACTTTGCATTTTAAAACAAAGTTCACATACTTCTCCAATGCCGATCAAATTTGTTGTCTACTCCATATGCTAAATCAGTGTTGGTTAAGCAAAACGGTACATACATTATTGAAGAATTACATGCACGAAAAAATTCACTTAATGTTTTTTATATCAGTACGCCTGACAGTCACCTTAAACCTTCAGATTCTAGGTCAATATAATGACAATTATATTATACTTTTAAACTTTTCTAATTCTACATTTACTTGAGCTGTACCTAACAAATCAGTAGTGATCGAAAGTGTACATTCAGCACGATATATTAACTAACTTTACTGCATCTTTGTCCGTCTTGACGGAGCCAATCCTCTGTACACTGGCCTGGTTGAAACAAGAGAACCCAATGGACAGAAAGGTGGTCCCAATTAGCATTGTCCAGAATGAGTGACGAGTGGTCGGAGACGGGTCAAACCTGCGGTAAAGAGTACTGTATGACGTAATAACGGTATGACGTCACAATTGTTCAATGATACATCACTCAGAACTACTCGGATGTCTCGCGCACTCGACAATATGTATGGAGTGTACCGGAGTCAGCCGAGGATTGCCGAGTGATGATAGATGGGTTATATTTAGTAAAATGTACATCATGGAATGAGTGGCGAATAGCTTTATACAGGTCAAAACTATGGCGGTGATCATGCATTATGAAGATTATGTGACGTAACAAAAGAATGACGTCATAAGTCTTACATACTAAATGGCCCACATTTGATGCAATCTGTTTTACAGAAAAAGTGTCAGAAAGATAGAGGTTGGTCAGACCTATGATTAATTGTTAAGTGAAATGCAATAACATTAACAATAAAATTGCAAACATAATACAACTGCCCAGTTTGTGAAGTAAAAATAAAAACATAAATATGTAATAATTACATCTATTTTTATCTGTACCTACACGAAGAAATTCAATCTGTCTCCTGCTGCCATAGCATCCCAGGCCGGAGACATTCCTCCTATTGTTATGTAGCCCTGTAAATATTAGATACCGTA